GGAAGGTAATAGTGAATAAGTAATTTATCAATGCCTTTAAGATTTGTAATGAGTCACTAGTAACTTGTCGATTGTCATTTTAGTTTCTCCACAGGATGATTTGACCAAAATCCATTTACTGACAACTTAATAACATTAGACTTAATGATTTTCTTTACATGGTTTTTAATGAATCAATTTATTACAACTCATAATCCTCTTATAAATAATGCATGTCTCTGCTTATTTCATCCTCCTCTTGCTATTATATCTACAGACAACATTCCTAGATTTCTACTATTTTGGAAAAGTGGGTAAATGGAGCCCTTTGCACAGTGTGAACCCACAAATGTTGGCAAGCATCTGCACTGCTTAAGTGCCAAGTCACTGCCAGCTCTGATGCTGCTGCTCTGTACAGTCTGATGTCCCTGGATGACCCCACAACAGTTACACATTTTATTATCACATAGAGGAAAAACATTGTAATCTGAGATCACTGGGGCTTACACCTCAGCTGCATTCCCTGTGCATATTGACATCATATCCCTGATGCTGCTTCAGGACAGGACATAATGGACATTCCTCAAACCCAAATGGACATTATCAGCTGGGTGATAGAGGTTAGTATCTGCCCCATGTCTTGGCTCCTGGCATGTCTACCACTCTCGCCTCAGCAAAAGGCTCTGTGATGGACTCCATATCAACTCACACAATCTCAACCAGCCGATACAAGGTGGCACCACGGTGGACTTGGATAGAGACACAACTCCTTTTTGGATTTGGAGTGTGTGTGTGTGTGTGGTGAGAGAGAGACAGGAGAGAAGAGAGAAGAGATGAGAGGAGAGAGAGAGAGAGAGAGATTCAGTAAGACAAAAGAGAAAGGGAGTGACAGTATGCGTCCCATGTTGCCTAAATTCAGGCTGCTGTTCAAGGAGACAGATAGTACTTACTCCAGTGGAACAACAGCACTGATAGACTAGACTCCTTGTTTCGCACTCAAACAGAAATAAACATTCACCACAGGGGCAAAACCTCTTCTCAAAGGGCTTTATTTGATGGTTGGAAAAACCAATTTCAGCTCCATTAGATGTAAACATTACAGGAAAGAGGACATTTACTATCATGAATACTCACCTTGGTAAACCCATTCTCCTTCTATTCTATGCCTGAAACATTGGTCCAGAGTAACAATATTACTTTGTTTGCATAAATACAGAATACACCACAATGAAACATTGCAAGTGTTACATCAAAGCAGAATTAGCTTAAGTTTGTTGGTTCGCAGATGTCCCATTGCTCCTGGGCATTTGGGTAGCAATGTGCCAGTTGGTACCAGTGCTTATTCTTTACTATTGTCATTAACAGTGCAACATTTGGACCTTCAACAGGCAACCAAGCTTCAGGGACTAAATGCACAACACTGAGTAGAATAAAACTATCAACTGTATAATAACCAGCCTGCTGACATGCTGCCTAATGTGTATTCCCCATCCACTTACATGAGTGTTTTCTGCCACATGAAGGAATAGAGAGACATGCCTCGCCATAGCAAATGTGGATTTGGCTGACAAAAACCATAAAAACACATTGAGAGTGGGGCGAAGTGAAGAATGGTGACTTGATGTAATAGCTCTATGTGTGGCTGTATTCACTCTACATCCCCCACCCCCCTCCCCATCACCACTAACAGATGAAGGGCTGCTAAGTCAGCTCTGGTCCAGTCTGCTCTTGCTCCACAGCTCAGCCTCCCAGTGTGTCTGTGCTGCAGACAAAGATAGGACTCTCAAAGGGCCAGCACAATGCTGGGAGGCTCAAAGGCTCCCATTTCTGCTTGCTCCTCTCAGTCTCCCTCTATCACACTTTTTCTAATGGAAAAAAAATAACCCGGCCCACACATCAGAACATGCTGTAGCATTGACAAAATGACTTATTACTCCTCGCTGCACACTTCCCTCTCCCTCCCTGGATTCATCAAGCTCCCAACCTCCTCTCAAAATGGCTGGCACCTCCTGGCGCTTGTCTAGCCTGTCACGCTTTCTCTGCAGTGACCTTGAGACAGAGATGAAGGAGTGATGGTGCTCCCATAACTGCTGCAATACAGCCGCCACCCCCCCAGACTCAAAAAAAGTACACAGCAGCAAGACGGCTCTCACTTACACTGACAGCTGGAGGAGGAGGGGGGGCACCCTCTGCATATCCGCATCAATCAAAATAGGATTAGGGTGCCTCTCTCTGGTCCTTTTTTATTTCCCATTAACTAGAAGTTGCTGATGAAATATGGAGCTGTTAAATGGTAACTGGGGTTGCAGAGACACAATGTAGCTTTTACTATCTTCACTAATTACATTAAATTCAAAAAGAACACAACATCAGTATTTTTTCTCTCAATATAACAGGCTTACAACTTCTGAATGTTGAGGTTGTAACCCTCTTGTATGCTTTAACAAAAAATATTAATATAATATAAATATAATATAATATTACTATTATACTGGTATGATCATTAACAGAATTTGAGTTTGCAGGCTTTATTGTAACACTGGGTGCATTGCCTTTGTCAATGACATGGTCCGGGCAGAGTCTTTCTGACAGCAAGATACAGAGATGAAATGACGTGACAATGTGTGAAACAAAACTGTCTGCTGTGATCAACCACCTTCATAGGCAAAACGATCCACCCCCTCATAGGAAACTGTTGTGACCGGTCACGTGACTCATCAGATGCCATTCTTCCACGTCCTAGTGGAAATGGGACGCAGACAAGAGATGATGCATGAATTCTTAATCAAATAAAGACAGTGAGAAGTGATAGGAATGGAAGGCAATTGTCCTGGTCATGCTGAATTAATGAGGCGCTGGCTTCCTTCCACATGCCAGGTTCCTGAATGACTCGGCTCATCACCGTTCACTTTCTGGGCCCGTCTTTTACCATCCGCTTCTATTCCTGGGCCAGGCTCGGGAACCCAGGGCCTAACAAACTCAAACTCTACCCTGTGATATCCACTCTTTAAAGGTGCTGTAAGAGAAATCAGCATTTTCACAACTTCCTGTCCCTTCTTGCAGATAGCAGTCCCCTCCCTCCTCCCCACATCCTCATGCTGTAATTCTGCTGCCTGCCCTTGAGGACCGTCTCTTTGTGGAGTTCTCTTTTCTGATAAAGTGGGACCAGGATACCAGAAAATGTATTCTGTTTACTGCAGAAAGGAGGGACTGGGAGACCCGTGTTACTGAGTGAACACTCTATATTAGTGATGGCTGTTGGAATGTAGAGCTATTTCACACATATTATGACAAAATTATTACAAAACTAGCACTTACAGCAACTTCAACAAATCTTCAGTAAAACCAAACGACTGATTCATTTCTTTTGCTCATGACCTTGGGCTCATGTAGGGGAGGGTGGCTTTCAGAGGGAAATTTTAAATAGTTTTCAGTCTCCACTGAAAAGCAGGCATCCATGGTTCACCTGAGGGTGAGAGCAGTGAGGTCCCAGTGCATGGCTGTCAGGCGACCCTGTCCATGTCCTGTCCAGAACACCCTTCTCTGACCACCTGAGCCTCTGTGCTGTGCGCCCGTCTGCTGGCAGTCAAGTCAGGCAGCACAGATCCAATTCATTGCTTCACACCAATTCAAAATCTAGTTGCACTTGCCCTATCAGGTTACACCTCCTCTCTCACACTTCTACCACTTTTCTTAACACCTGTGGTGATGTCACCTTGTAGCCCTAGCAGAGAAATGCTGCTGTGTCCTTTCCCCCCACAAAGTAAAAAAATAAATAAAAATTACTCAAGACGGAGTTAGGCATTCCCATGGCAACCAGGTCCTGTGGTATAGGCAGGGATATCAGGCCAAACCCAATGCCATTTGCATACAAATTGCCCAGCTGGCACCTTGTTGTTATGACAACGGCACACAGCTCCCAGAATTCATTTGGAAGTGAAATACAAAAGGAAAGCAGCCAGCGAGGAGAGTCATTGATAAAATTCCTTTTCTTTCATAATGAAGACATTGCTGACACAAAGATAATTATACAAAAAAGACATTGCTGACACTGACACTATGTTCTCATGTAAAATCTAATCACAATATAGTACCTGCAGGAAATGAGGAGAAAAAGTATACTATATGAGATTGAAATTGATTGCAATATTAAATGGGTATGTATCTACAATGTTTGTATAAAAAATATGTTTGAAAATTGGAATACTTTAACTATCCAGACATGCAAATCATTGTCTTTTCTCTACAAAATCTATATAAACTCTGGCAGATACTTTTGAACCTTCTTGGTTCACCTGATTTTGCAAACCTTTATATCATTTCTTACAATGAGCCGAGCCAAATCCTTAGAGCTTGAGAGAGAGAAAGTAAACTCCGCTGACAACACAGTGTCCTCTACTGGCAGCATGTGGCAGGAAGTTTACACAACCGCCTGTCTGGCTAAACGGATAATATTTAGCTCAAGGGCAACTGAGCTGATGCTTTTCCATAGTCATCCTGGCTCAGCTTACTGACCAGTTAAATTGCCCTGCTGTGGACTCCATGAGCATTCTGTGAACCCAGCATATCTATTTATCCCAGCAACCCCCACAAGACTGTGGTTTAATCATTGGCTTCTGTGCGGCTGTCAAACCATCGCAGGCTAATCAGTGCCTCTCTCAGTGGGAAACAAAGCAGCTCCTGGTTTCAATACTTGACCTGTACAACTGAGTGCTGATCTATGGGCAAGGCGAGCCCTCATCCTGTACATATTAAACTGTGCATTTTTCACCCTCATCGTGTTAATGATGAGAGCCCCACTGATAGTCCTGTTACAGATTGTTAGAAACAACTGGTGCAAACCACTTCAGCCCAGATTGAAAGGCCCGTGTCAGCAACAACACAACAACAGAGCAGTGTGTGTGTGTGTTTATTTGTGTGTGTTGCACCCTCTACCTCAGGGTGGGAGCAGAAGGAAGGTGACACATCATGCCTCCCCAGCATATAAATGTAGGCGCCTTCTTGCTGAAGTGCCGCTGGTTCTAAGGCATGACAGTTTAGTACACTTCTTTCCCCCGAACGTTCAACCTTTCCCAAGGTCACAACTTGCTAGCAGCTCAGATCTTTACTAAAGCACCAACCCGTTAATTTGTCACTTACCATCCAATTCAACATGGCAACCCGATGGGGACTCTGCGGTGCGGGGAAGATCAGCCATGACTTCAGCGTGGCCATGAAGACTCTGCCTCCTGGAGATCACCAGGTACTCTATACAAACAAGCTCACTACATCTTCATTGACACAGAGGATGTCTCCCTTGCACTCAACAGAGCTGCTGACAGAGCAACACTGTGATGAATGTGTGTGTGTTTTTCTCTCCTACATACAGATAGCAGTCATTGCATCGAGGAGCTTGGAGCGTTCCAAAGAGTTTGCCAAGAAGCATGGTATTCCTAAGGCTTATGGAAGCTATGAGGAGCTGGCCAACGACCCAGACATTGGTGAGTTAAGAGCTGCGAGCGGCCTGGCTGCACAGGCAGAGATAATGGCGTGTTGGTTTTGCTGTTTGAAGCTGAGCCCGGAACATCTGTGTCCTCACAGACATTGTGTACCTGGGAGTGCTGCACACAGAGCACTGGCGAGTTGGTCTGCTGTTCCTTAAGGCTGGGAAGAATGTGTTGTGTGAGAAACCCTTCGCTATGAACTCCAGACAGGTGAAAGATCTTGTTGCCACAGCCAAGAAAAACAATGTCTTCCTGATGGAGGTAAGTTTGACAGGATACAATCATTCATGTAGACTTTTGTCTTGAGTCCACTTGCTGGTATTGATCCTCTTATCTAAGCATATTTCCTAAAATGTCTAAGTATTTCTTTCATAAACCTTTCTGCCACCAACGCTGTTGCAGCAGATGACTGCTATGCATCTACTTGGGTTAAAGATTGCAATTCATATCCCATTGCATTTTAGGTCACATAGTTGCATTGTAGTGCCATGTTTGCAGACAATTTAAGCACAGGAGAGTCATGTAGGAAGCAAAACCCTGAATGTCCTGGGAATATTTATAACTCATGGTACAGGAAAACATCTTGTCATGTCATGTTTGACCAGCACATCTGCCATAGTTCTCATGGGAGGTGGAGGAAGTGGAGAGCTGTGGTAATAAGCTGCTGCTCAGGTGAAACACCAGTGTAAACTGTTTACTATTGCAGTGGTGCTAGGTTGTATGCTCTGTCCCTCTCAGGCCATCTGGTCCCGCTGTTTCCCCGTGCATGCTGAGGTGCGCAGGCTGCTCTCAGAGGAAGCAGTAGGGAAGCTGAAGCTGGTAAAGGCCTACTTTGGCTCGCCTCAGCTCCACATCCCCCGCTCGGTGGAGAAGGAGCTGGGCGGTGGCGCACTGCTGGATATTGGAGTGTACTGCCTGCAGTTTGTGCTGATGGTGTTCAATGGAGAGAGGCCAGAGTCCATCCAGGCCACAGGGGTGCTGCTAGACTCAGGTATGATTCAGCACATAGATCATGCAGCAGAGGTGGGGTGTAGATTAGTATCATTAACCACACTGCATGAATCAGTGATAACAAACTGGCAATTGCTCACCATGCAGTGGGGCCGATGGGGCCACGGAAATGGGTGGCACACCAAAACCAAAAGCTGGTGGAGGGGTTTGTGTGTGATGCAGTGACGCATGGTCAGAGGGCTGGCAAAGCATTAGTTATTTTCTGTCACATTAACTTTTATCAAAAATATACATTATTCATTTAAGAAAACAGTACCTAATGTAAAATATTAGATAAAAGCATATTATGCATATGGAACCCATGAGAGGGGGCCAGTGGGGGGCTAGCGATTGTATCTGGCTGGCTGTGGCCCCACCTGACGCCACAGTCACACTTAACCAAAAAATGGGGAATTAAGAACCCCTAGTGTGACACAGACGAAACTTAGACAGAAAATCACTTATTTATGAACTGTCCAAAATGTAACCTCAGGGAAGAATTCTTCACACAGAAAATCCCAGACTTATCTTTAAAATGTCAGACTAATCCAAATCCTCCCCAGAGAATACAGTAATACAGTAAAAGTGGCAGGGGAATATGTAACTGCATGTCTCACAGCAAGATATCCTTCAATGTAAGACCATCACATCACTCTATACATATAATGAGCATTTCCTTATCTTTTACTGACATTTATGTAACATATTTGACAATTTAATGAACAGACAAGAAAAAAAATCATAGTGTAAATTTTTGACCTTCTCCCTTTTTTGTCCAAAAGACCCACCAGTTATGCTGAATAGAACTAAACTAATTTGACGTAATTGAAGTGTACTGATAAAAATGCATTGAAATGGCCTGAAGTGAACTGAACTGAATAAAAATTGAAAGGGAATTTAACTGATATCAAAAGCAGTATTGTTAGCATTCATTCATTCATTTGCTGCTCACCAATGTTACAATGGTTTAAGTTTTTTCAAATGTTTGGCAGGAGTGGATGAGTCAGTGGTTGTGGTGATGAAGTTCTCCAGGAACAGAATGGCCTTCTGCGCCTTTTCAATTGCTGCTCGACTTCCGAACGATGCTGTCGTCTGCGGCACCAAGGGCTCCATTACAGTATGCTATGCTAGTCTTGTACAGCAACATTTTACTTAATTGAAAAATGATTGAGGCATGCAAAAACTGTGTTGATTGCTAATTACTTTCACATTTAATTAAAACAAAGTATTCAGATAAAAATCCATACCAACTGCATTTGATAATTTACGAGTTGAATGATCGGATTAATACAAGTGCATTTCCTCTTCACCCTCCAGGTTCTCGGCCCCATGCACTGCCCCACCACACTCCTGGTGAACGACAAGGAGACGGAGTACCCTCTGCCTGAACCCAGCCTGCCTCTGAATTTCACCAACAGTACCGGGCTTCGCTATGAGGCAGAGGAAGTGCGGCAGTGCCTGCTTAAAGGTAGGTCATGATAAAAGGAAAGTTGTGTATTTGTCTTCAAAGAGATGAAATTGTTTGAACAGCCCAAACCACTGTTTCAAAGGTAAGATGAGTTTGAAAGAAAGACACTGCAATTCGGTGAAACGGTTGCTTTCCCGAAACTTCTCGTGAGAATTTTGATGAATACTCATACACGAATGCACTCATCAGATTGACTCAGAATCAGATGTTGTCATCAGTCCTTGGAATGTCCTCTAGCTCCTAAAGTATTACTCTCCTGTTGGTTTTGCCTCCTATATTAATTTACATAATCTTTACATCCACTGCTTTGATATGATTTATGCTTCATTGTGAATATGTACATAAATTAACTGTGGGTATAAACAGACGTCTTTCAGTCGGAGTGATTTTGCTGTTAAACTCCTCTTCATCCGCAGGACTTAAGGAGAGCCCACGGATGCCTCTGGCAGACTCTGTCTTACTGACAGAGCTCATGGATGAAATCAGGAAACAGGTGGGAGTTGCCTTCAGCCAGGACAGCCAGTGACATCACTCCAAAGCTGGGGCTGTTTCACCTGACCTAAACCTACTCGGATGGAACAGAGGGAGCTGCTCGCGGCAGGCTTTGGATATTTGGTATAAGCAGATCACTCATGGCACTGTGTGACAAAGCCTGAGCAGACGCAGTGACACTAAGGCAACTGTGACTCGGATAACAGAGTGAGCTGCAGCTGAATTAAAGATACAAAATTTTAATCTTGGCCACATTTATAACTGTTTATTTTTCTGATACGTTTCTTTGCACCTTATACACCTATTAGGACTCCAAACATTGCCATTGCACCCCAGAGTCACCATGTAAACACCTTGTAGGTCCTTAAAATACAAAATATTATATATTATATTATATATATATATAAACACTGTCAATTAAAAAAGTTGAACACATTATTTTAAACCAGATAAGTCACAATGTAAACAAATAGAGCGACCATGTTGTGTGTAACCATTCTGTTATCAAGTCCTAGACTAACCCAGCTGTCACTGTGAGGTGTGTGATTGATGAATCCAATAAAGGACTGATTGTGAAAGCCTTGTTTCATTCCAAACATCATCCGCTGGAGAGGAGAGGAGACTTGGCGAGTGGCACATTTGAATCAAAGTGTTCTGTCATGTCTGACCCCTGCAGCCGTGTACAAATAGATTCATGTTCTCTGTACAAAAATAGGTTGCACTGTCTGCTTTTCAAGGTTAGGACAGAGAAAGGCCTTTATGAGTCAGCAAAGAGCATGGCTCATTTAATACTCGTTCTCAACCTTTTGGGATTGTAGGACTCCTAAAAACTGGAGGATGTCTCCTTCCTACTAGAATACAGTGACTCCAAAATGGCACACTTGATTACATTATTTGTTTAATAAATAATGCTGAAATACTGCAGATATTTATTCAAGAAGATAATAAAATAACTTTAACCTATTATATTTACTTGTTTAATAAATGGACCACTCAACCTTATGCAATATAATGATAAATAATAGCAAAATGAAATGTCCCTGTACATCAGCTCCTAAAAAGGCTGTTTTGGGACTGACCTCTGACCACTCTTGGTGATTACATAAAAAAAAAGCAATCCCATCCTGAAAAGTATCACAAGAGATTCAGTGAAGAGTGAATATATTATTATTATTATTATTATTATTATTATTATTATTATTATTATTATTAGTAGTAGTAGCAGG